CCTGTACACAGAGATCTACTTGGATATGCACGCGCAGTCTCGGGCTCTTGAGGGCGTCCGGCCGTGGCGGTCGCGGGCGAGGGTCCGTGACCCAGATCGCCCCGACGGCCTCGGCCCCGACGCCTCGCTCGGCTTCGGCTTCGGCTTCGTGCTCGGCCAGGTAGTCTGCGCGGCGCTGCCTTGGCCTGGCGCTTGGCCGGGCGAAGGCGGTTCCGGGAGGCTACACGCACGCAGTCATTCACATACGCATTCACACGCACACGACACGCACGACATGAACGCAGCACGCACGCACGCACGCACGCACGCACGCACGCAGACGCATGCACGCAGCACGCAGGCACGCGCGCCGCACACACACACACACACACACACACACACACAACACACACACACACACACAACAACAACACACACACACACACACACACACAACACACACACACACCAACACACACACACACACACACACACACACAACACACACACACACACACAACACACACACACACACAGAAAGAAAAAAAGAAAAAAAAAAAAAAAAAAATGACGTATCATCTCAGAACGAAACAAAGAGAGAAAAAAGGCACCTGTTTACCGAAGTGTCATCCAGGCGTCGCGCATTGTCTCCCGGGTGGGCATCTTTGGCTCGGGGCGGGGGGGTGGGGTCGGGGGTGGGGGTGGGGAGTCGTCTCTCGCCCCGGGGGAGGGCAGAGCGTGCTGGGAAGGGGGAGGGGGGGATTTTTTTTTTTTTTTTTTTATTGTATTTTTTTTTTTTTTTTTTTTGTCTTGCTTCTTGGTTTATTGGTTATTGCTTTGTGTTATTGTAATGGTGACATGAAAGATGGTGGTGATAGTGTAATGGCGATGATGAATAATGATAATATAATAGGGATGATAGTCATGCCAATGATGGTGAGCACAGAGCAACAACCAATTATAACAATGCCGGTGATGATAACAACGACAATTACAACTCTCATCATCATCATCATTACTGAATCATTTGTTGAAAATTGTTATTGTGCGTATGGCTGTGTGTTCAATTGTTTGGTATTGCTATTAGTACTATGTACGGGTGCTGAGTGTGTGGGACTTAGGCTGGTCAGGTGTTGTTTTTGTGGGGAAAAGTGGAACAAGTTTGGAGGATGGTAGTCATAAATTTATTGATGGGTCTGGGTAATGTTTTTCACTATCGGGTTGGTTGGCTGATATCGATATGGTGCGTGTGTGGCGGTTAAGTATTTAATTGCTTTAGCGTTAAGGGGCTTGGTTTTGATGATGGGCCTTGCTGGCCTCCAAGTCTCGTTGGTCTGGTTGTCTTTTTTTGGGTCCGTCTGTATCTGTCTGTATTGACATGAGGTGTATGTAGTGGGGCGGGTGTTGGTTGCTGTTGTTAGGGGTAGGTTGCTAGGGCTAATTGTTGTTTCAATACTAGGTGTAAGTGAGTCAGATAGCGCGGCGGGTTGATGGTTGAGTGAGCCCTAGGGTACATTTGGATGTGTGGTTTGGCGAAAATCGGTTTCTTAGGTTGTATACGTGTATTCTCATAGAGGTCGCGGCATAGCGAGGTGGTGATTTATCGACGCATAGCGGAAAGGGAGGGGATAGGCTGGGGTAGAGGAGTGTCATAGGGTAGAGAAGTGGTGTTGGTTAGTATCTGGTAGGACTTGTGCATGATTTTTTTTTTTTTTTTTTTTTTTGTTTCGCAAATCTGATGAGTTAGTTGGATTATGTTAGAGTGTGTGGTTATTGAGTGATGTAACCGATTTGATGAGGGAATCGGTGCAGAGGTGTATGGTGTGGCGCTGGGGGGGAGTCGGAGTACCTCGAATATATGTTTGGTTGTAGCAGTGAGTAGGATAGGGATAGATGATAATGCGGTAGATAGTGGGGGAGAGAGGTGTAGAAAGGGTGAGTGAACGATAGGAGAGAGTGGTACAGTGAGAGGATCAGACATAGTAAGAAAGTGATGGGTAGTCCAGCACGCAACACTGGTGATTGAAGTGGTGGGGGGTGACAGGGTGGTGTGGGCGACAGGACAGAAGTGGTAGCTGATTGAGATCTTGAGTATTGAGGGATGTGGAGAGAGAGAAAGGGAGTGCGAGAAAGATATGGAGGCGCGCACAGCAGCCGACAGGAGGTGGAGAGAGAGAGAGAGAAGCATGGGAGGATGTACGGAGGAGAGAGTGTTTGAGGTAGAAGTGAGAGAACTGGATGTGTGCAGGTGAGAAATGTTTATGATACAGGGAATGGAGTAGGGAGATGGGTGGGGGGAGAGGAGTAGAACTAAGTTGGGATGGCTGTGACGTGCCACATGCGGGATGATATTGAGAATGACGTTATAAGCGGTGTGCCGAAGCTCACGCGGACTTGCATATGGAGTAGATGCGCCAAAAAGACCGAATCTTCCATATTTAGAAGTATTTTATTTGAATATCTATGGGTGTATAACTATCTAAATGCAACGCGCACACTTTCATATACGTCCTGGCGCACACACGGATGCGAGCGGGAAGAGGGAATTGACGTATGTCTTTGGGTACAGAATTATATTATATTTTTGTGGATATCTTTTTGTGTTGGTTAGTTTTTCGCGTCCGGGTTTTTGAAGCTTCGCTCCCTTCCTTTCCTCTCTATCTCCCTCCTTCTCCCTACTCCACTCCCTCCCTTCTCTCTCCCTTCTTCCTCCATTCCCCCTCCCACCATCCCTCCTTCCCTCCTCCCCTCCATCCCACTTCCTTCTCCTCCCTCTCCCTTCTCCACCTGCCTCTTCTCCCTCCCTTCCCCCTCTCCATCCCTTTTCATTCCCCTTCCTTTCCCCTCCCCCACCATCCTTCCTTCTCCCTCCACCCTCTTCATCCCCCTTCCTTTCCCCTCCCACCTGCCACTCTCTCCCTCCCTCTTCACCCCCCTCCCTTTCCCCTCTCCACCTCCCTCCCTTTCTCCTCCCTCCTCCCTCTCTCTCTTTTGTCGCGAGCCTTTGGATCCAACACAAGAGCGCCGCTCCTCCACCTCCTTCGCTCCTTCCTTTTGCATTCCTTATGCACTCCTTCTTATATTTGCCTCCTCTCCTCCTCTTTCTTCTCTTTCCTCTCAACCCCTCTTTTGGTCTTTTGCTCTCTTCCTCCTCTCTTCTCTCTCTCTTTCTCATCTCTCTCTCCTCTCCCTCTCTTCTTCTCTCTCTCTCTCTCTCTCTCTCTTTCTTCTCTCTCTCTTCTCTCTCCTTGTTGTTTGTTGTTTGTTTGTTTGTTGTGTGTGTGTGTGTCTTTCTCCTCTCTCCTTCTGCCTGGTTGTCTATCCGTCTGTCTTTCTCTCTACGCTCTTTATTTCTGTTGCCTCCCTCCTCTGTGTTATCATGAACCCTAATTACATTTTCCAGGTAAAATTTGCCATTGCTTATATTCGTAATGCCGTTTTGCAAATTGCACACAATCGACGGGAAATGAATAATTATATCGGCGCTCCGTGAGTGATTTGCATTCTGGCGATGCCGTTGCCTTGGTGTTAGTATGTTGCGTGGTTTTGTTTTGTTTTTGGGGAAAGTAGGAGGAAAGGAAGGGGGAAGGGGGAAGGGGGAAGGAGAGAAAGGGTGTTGTATTTCCTCTTTTGTCTGCTTGGGGTTGGATTTCTGGTCTGTCTGCGTGTATCCTCTTTCTCTCTTTCATCTCTCGTTCTCTTTCTCTCTTTCCTTCTCTCTCTCTCTTCTATTCTCTCTCTCTACTTCTCATCTTTCTCTCTCTCTCTATCTCTCTCTTCTCTCTCTCTCTCCTCTCTCTCTCTCTCTCTCTCTCTCTCTCTCTCTCTCTCTCTCTCTCTCTCTCTCTCTTCTCTCTCTCTCTCTCTCTCTCTCTTTCTCTCTCTCTTTCTCCTTTCTCCCCCTCCCTATCTCCCCTTCCTTTACTGTTCTCTCTTCCTTCTTCATCTCCGCTGCAATCTGAGGTCACTGGGACAAGGGGTTGGGGGGAGGGGGAGGGGGGAGGGGAGGGAGAGGAGAGGGAAACAATAGTACGGATTTTTAATTAAACGGAAAGGGCGGTGTGGTGGGCCGCGTCCGCTGTTTGACTGGAAAGAGGGAGGGAAGGGAGGGAAGGAAGGTGGAAGAGAAGGAAGGAAGGAAGGAAGGAAGGAAGGAAGGAAGGAAGAAGGAAGGAAGGAAGGAAGGAAGGAAGGAAGGAAGGAGGGAAGAAGGGAATGAAAGGAAAGAAGGAAGACAGGAAGAAGGAAGGAGGGTGAGGGGAGAGGGTGGTAAAGGATAGGAAGGAAGGGGAAGGAATGTAAGAGGAAGTGTAGAGGTTAATGAGAAAGAGAAGTGAGAAGAGGAGAGGGAGCGAGGAAAGGAGACTAGGGATGAGCTGAGATTGGGGAAGCAATAGCGGAACAAGAAAGAAAAAACGACGAAAATGGAGCGAGAGGAGAGTGAGTGCGGGTGAGAGTGAGGTGAGTGGGAGAATGAGAGTGAGGGTGTGAGCAGAGGAGAGGGAGAGAGAGAAGGAAAAGGAAAGGAAAAGGAAAAGGAGGGAGGGAGAGAGGGAGAGGAGAGGGGGAGAGGGGAGAGGAGAGAGAGAGTTCAAAAGTAAAGAAATTCGGATACGGAATGAAATACGCCCCATCGTCCCGTCGTAACCCACACCGGCCCTGGGGTGCATCTCAAGGCGGGGTATCTCTCACACACACACACACACACACACACACACACACACACACACACACACACACACACACACACACACACACACACACACACACACACACACAGAGTATGAGAAAGAGCGGTCACAGAGAGGGGGGGAAGAAACGGCAACAAAGACCCGAGAGAGAGAGAGGAGAAAAAATCGCGGGTTGCACTAGTGACGCTTCCTCCAGACGCCGCAAGTCAGAGGCCAAGCATTGCGGCCAAATTAGGCCTTATCCAAATAAACGCGGCCCGGGCGAGAATAGTCCTGCCCGGCGGCGCTGGCTCCATGACCCCGCGCACGGCCAATTAGGGCATCGGCCAACACGGGCACTGGCCAACCGCGGCGGCAGGGCCACTCGTCCGCCGCGCCGCTCGCCGCAGACGCTCATGGCACCCGCGCCCGTGCCGTCGCCCCCCGCGCAGCCTGCAGGGCTTCCATAACAGTGCCGCCGACCCAGTGCCACTCGTGCCCCCTGCGCGCCCGTCTGGCATCGCCCAAGCAGGCCGGACGCGTCGGGTTCTTCGCGGGCTATTTGCGGTGATTTTTTCCCTCTGGATTGGCCTTGGTGACGGCGGGAAGGCCTCTCGGCGCCGCGGAAGTGGCTCGTAAAGTGGTCGCGAGTGAGGGAAAGGAAAGCAGGAAAATACTCGGGATTTTTGTTGACTGATCGGTGCGGCTCGGAAGGCGGTCGCCTCCTGTGGCTCTCGTGTTGGAGGCGTGTTGGTGTTGCTGCTGCGGGAGGAGGAAGCTCGCTTCGGTTCTTTTCTCTCTCTCTCTCTTCTTCTCTCTCTTCTCTCTCTTCTCTCTCTCTCTCTCTCTCTCTCTCTCTCTCTCTCTCTCTCTCTCTCTCTCTCTCTCTCTCTCTCTCTCTCCTCCTCTCTTTCTCTACATCCTCCCCCCTCCTCCCTCCTCCTCCAACAAACCAAACAAAGGAAACGGGCGCCCTCCCAAGCAAGCAACATTACGCGATTCCACCTCAAGCCAAGAAAGGGAAACGCAAAAGCAAACAAAGCACTCGCGTTGATATCAGAATTACCAACCTATATATGTATATAAAAGTGACTCCGAATTAAGTACTTCTTTGAAACAGAAGTTGCAATAAAGGGAAAGGAGGAGTGAAGTCCCCCCCCTCCCCCCAAGGTCAAAGGTCATCGAGAGCTAGAGAGATAGAGAAGGGGGGTAGGGGTCATAGGGGTCGGGATGGATGCCCTTCTCGTCGTCTTCGTCACCTGCCTCATCGCCTGGGCTGTGTGGAAGGTATTTTTCTTTTTTGTTTTTGTTTTTTTGTTGTTTTTGGTTGATCACTCTTGTTTTTTGTTGTTTTTGTTGTTTGTGTTTGATGATCACTCGTTTTTAGGCTGTTTTGTTTTTTGATCACTCGTTTTTAGGCTGTTTTGTTGTTTTTTGTTTGTTTGTTTTTGTTGATCACTCGTTTTACTGTTTGTTGTTTTTTGTTTGTTTTTGTTCTAGTTTTGGGTGTTTTGGTTGCTTTTGTCTTAAATTTGTTTGTTGTGTATGTTGACTAAATGTTATTTGTTGATTTATGTCTGGCTTTTTTGAAATTGTTACTGTTATGTTGTTTTTTTATAGTTGTTTGGGGCAGCGGTGTCTACATATTTTCTTTAATGATTTAACTGCGTAGGCGAAAGAGATGCTGTGCTTCACATGTGTCTCTAGTGCCTTTTTTTACCTTCTTTTTACTCTCTTTTTTGGGTTAGCTGTCCACGCTCAGACACGTGCTTCTGCCCCCACTCCCCCCTCCCCCTCACTCTCTCCCTGTTTCTCTGTTTCTCTCTCTGCTCTCTCTCTCTCTCTCTCTCTCTCTCTCTCTCTCTCCTCTCTCTCTCTCTCTCTCTCTCTCTCTCTCCTCTCTCTCTCTCTCTCTCTCCTTCTCTCTCTCTCTCTCTCTCTCTCTCTCTCTCTCATCTCTCTCTCATCTCTCTCTCTCTCTCTCTCTCTCTTCTCTCTTCTCTCTCTCTCTCTCTCTCTCTTCTCTCTCTCTCTCTCTCTCTCTCTCTCTCTCTCTCTCTCTCTCTCTCTCTTCTCTCTTCTCTCTCTCTCTCTCTCTCTCTCTTCTCTCTCTCTCTCTCTCTCTCCTCTCTCTCTGTCTCTTCTCTCTCTCTCTCTCTCTCTCTCTCTCTCTCTCTCTCTCTCCTCTCTCTCTGCTCTCTCTTCTCTCTCTCTCTCTCTCTCTCTCTCTCTCTCTCTCTCTCTCTCTCTCTCTCTCTCTCTCTCTCTCTCTCTCTCTCCTCTCTCTCTCTCTCTCTCTCTCTCTCTCTCTCTCTCTCTCTCTCTCTCTCTCTCTCTCTCTCTCTCTCTCTCTCTCTCTCTCTCTCTCTCTCCTCTCTCTCTCTCTCTCTCTCTCTCTCTCTCTCTCTCTCTTCTCTCTCTCTCTCTCTCTCTCCTCTCTCTCTCTCTCTCTCTCTCTCTCTCTCTCTCTCTCTCTCCTCTCTCTCTCTCTCTTCTCTCTCGAACTTTCCAACTAATAACCAATGATACGTATAAAAGACCCAACTAAGGTTTCGTTTCCCTCATATCACTGCGAACGTGCGCGCGCATGATGACCCCGCTTGTGATTATTGGGGGTGGGGGGTGAGGGGGATGAGGGAGAAAGGGGGTGTTTGAAATGTGGGGGAGAGAGGGGGGGGGAGGGAGGAGGAGAAGAGGGTCTTTGAAATGTGGGGAGAGAGAGGTGGGGGGAGGGGATGAGGAAAAGGGGGTGTTGAATTGAGAGGGATAGAGGTGGGGGGAGGGAAGGGGTGTTGAAATGTGGGGAGAGAGAGGTGGGAGGGGGGAGGGGGGGGTGTTTGAAATGTGGGGGAGAGAGAGGGGAGGGGAGGAAAGGGTGTTTGAAATGTGGAGGATAGAGGTGGAGGGGTGGAAAGGCGGTGTTTTGAAATGTGGGGGGGGAGAGGTGGAAGGGGAGGGGAATGGGGTGTTTAAATGTGGGGAAGGATGGGAGGGTGGAGTGGGATGTGGGAATTTGGGAGGGAGGAGTGGGGGTCGAAATGCGATTCTCTAACTGCCCTCCGTCTGGTGTGACTCAGTCCGTGTTATGATTTCGTCTCGAGTGATGTAACGGCGAGCATTAAGATCTAACGGTGACGGCGCACATCTCGCGTTTGTGAATAAGTGTGGTTATCGCTCGTCTTGTATCGCTCGGAAGGCGACGGATCAGCACACGTTGAATCAGCGACAAGGAATATGGGGAACGAGGAAGGAATAGGAAAGGGGAAGTATGGATGAAGTGGAGGGGGCAGGAATGGGGATAGGTGGCAAGGACGGAAGGGGGTGGAGCGAGGAAAGGGGGGAGGAAGGGGAAGGTGGGGAAGGAACGGGAGAGAGGGAGGAATGGGGAACGTCGGGAAGGAAAGGACTGGGGGTCAGGAGGGAGGGAGGATGGGGAAGGACGGGAAGGAAAGGAAGGGGGGCGAGGGCAGGAAGGAAGGGTTGGGGAAGGCACCGGAAGGGTTAGAAGGAGGGGGAATGGGGAAGGGAAGGGAGGGAAAGGGGGGGGAATGGGGAAGGTGGGGAAGGAAAGGAAGGGGGTAGGAGGGAGGGAGGAATGAATGGGGGAATAGGAGGGAGGGAAGGAGGGGGTAGGAGGGGAGGGAAGAATGGGTGAAGAGTGGGGAGGAAAGGAGGGGTAGGAGGGAGGGAGGAAATGGTGGAGGAGGAAGGGGGGGGGTAGGAGGAGGAGGAATGGGAAGGAACGTGGGGGTAGGAAAGGACGGGGGTAGGAGGAGGGAAGGAAGGGAGGAGGAGGGAGGAATGGGAAGCGGAAGGAAGGAAGGGGGAGGAGGGAAGGAAGGGGGAAGGAGGGAGGGAGGAATGGGAAGGTGGGAAGGAAGGAAGGGGGTGGAGGGAGGAGGAATGGGGAAGGTGGGAAGGAAGGAAGGGGGTAGGAGGGAGGAAGGAATGGAGAAGGTTGGGAAGGAAAGGAAGGGGGTAGGAGGGAGGAAGGAATGGGGAAAGTGGGGAAGGCAAGGAAGGGGGTAGCGGGGAGGAAGGAATGGGGAAGGTGGGAAGGAAAGGAAGGGGTAGGAGGGAGGGGGAGGAAGGAATGGAGGAAAGAAGGAAGTAATCAATGAAGAAACGAGCACTGGACGTACGTTACGATCAGCATTATCATTCTCTTTGGCAGTAGTATAATTCTATTGTTGATTATGCATCGTCATTGTTTTTCCCCGTATCAGCAACGGGAGAAAGTCTACGGGGAGGCAACCCCATTTTCACATATATGCTTCAGTCTTGTCTGACGTTAGATATTTTCTTGTTATTCATCATGGAGGATTGGACGACAAAGAAGAAGAGCGAAAATAGGAAATATGAAGAATATGAAATAGAAATAAGAGAAAATGTAAAAGGTCATGTGTGATTTTGGAAGAGACAGGGAGATGGACTGAAAGAGAGACAGGCAGACAGACAGATAGACACAGATATAGAGGGAGGGGGAGCGAGGGAGAAGAAAATAAAGTAAGAACGAAAGATTTGATTGAGAGAGAGGGTAAAAAGGAGGAGGAGAGGAAGAATTGAAAGTAGAGGGAGAGAAACAGAAAGAGAGGAGAGGAGAGAAGAAAGAAGAGGAGAGGAAAGGAAAGGAAAGGAAAGGAAAGGTAGAAAAGAAAAAAGAGAAGAGAAGGAAAAGAGAAGAGAAGAAGAGATATATAGAGCTGTAGTCTATCTTTCCTTGGCTCGTCCTGTGCTATCTCTCAACAGCGATACCTGGTTACGTCAGCGACAAGGCCTGCGTGACGTCATCGAATGGGGTTTGGGGGGGTTGGGGGGGGGAAGGAGGGTGATGACACTAGGGGTGGGAAAGGTAGAAGGGAGGAGGAGGAGGAGGGGGAGGGGGGAAGGGGGACACGCCCACTCATTTCCGAAAGGGAAACTTGCGGGAATTGATGTTTCTGGCACCGGGTTGGGTAATTGTGGGTAATTGTTTGTTTCTTTGTCTCGTGAAGGTGGTGCCATCGATGCCATTGTTTTATTTTTTTTTTTATTTTTTAGGGGGTGGGGGGGATGTATGAGTCTGTGGTGTAATTTGCATTCCTCGGTGCGGTCTGTGGAGTTCGTGGTGTTGTGTGGCAGATTGGCTCATAATGATCATAAGATGGTTATTATCATCATCGTCATCATTATCATTATCATTATCATCATATCATCATCATCATCATCATCATCATCATCATCATCATCATCATCAGCCCATTGGTATTATTATCGTTTTTAAAAGATTATTGTTTTATTATTATTGTTATTATTTTTTTATTATAACTTTAATTTAGATTGTTATTGTTATTACTAGTGTTATTGTTATCATCATCATCATCATCATCGTGATTATCAGATTTACATTTAGAAAAAAGAGATCTGGAGGTTATGTGTTTAATCGGGCATTTTTTGACGAGCTGGCAACATGTGCGCAGATACCCGATCCACCTTCGGGAAGATGTTTGGATTATTAGCGGCTTTAAAGGGTTAACTGAGGGAAGGGGGAGGAGGAGGAGAAAGGGGGCGGATGGGGAATGGAGAGGGGAAAGGGGAAAGGAGGTGGGGGGAATGGGGAGAGGAGGAGGGGGAAAGGGGAGGGGAGGGAGGGGGGAGGGAGAGGAGGAGGGAAAGGGGAGAGGGGGGGATGGGGAGGGAGAGGAGAGAGGAGGAGGGGAAAGGGAGAGGGGGAGGATGGGAAGATTGGGAAATGGGAGAAGAAAGGGGAAGTTCGGAGGAAGAAATATATAAATATATGGAGGTAGAGGAGGAGGAAACAGAGGGTTAAGAGAAAGGGGAGAGAGAAAGAAGGGAAGGAGGGTAGAGGCAGAAGATAGAAAGAAAGGAAGCAAGAAGACACATCTTGGCGAGAGGAAGGGGAAATGAGAGAAGAAAGGGGGAATTCGGAGGAAGAAATATATAAATATATGGAGGTAGAGGAGGAGGAAGCAGAGGGAAAAATAAAGGGTCAAGAGAAAGGGGAAGAGAGAAAGAAGAGAAGGAGGGTAGAGGCAGAAGATAGGAAGGAAAGGAGGTAACGAGACGCATCTTGGGTATCGGTTTGGAGTCTTTGTGATTTTTTTTTTCGGCCCCACTTTTTTTTTCATCGTAAGTCGTCAGATCTGAGAGGAGATTATCACGTCCACAAACGCACAGACGTTCGCGCGCGTGCACACGTACGGAGACGAGTGTGTGTGTGTGTGTGTGTGTGTGTGTGTGTGTGTGTGTGTGTGTGTGTGTGTGTGTGTGTGTGTGTGTGTGTGTGT